TATATATACTGTATATATCATTCTGACACCCTATTAGTTTGTATGATCCATCACACCTGTATGACACAAATGGCTTCACACTCCAGCAGGACATATAAGATTTATCAAATATATCAGATTAATTCCTAAAGATGACTGTGGACAAGATATACAATAAATGCAGCTGAAATGGGTAGCCTAGTGCATCCCAAAAATTTCAACTTAACATTTCATTATATTTTATAGTCATTACCCCCTTTAGAAAAAAATGTTTATTTGAGGAGGTGGGGTTGTGCACTATAGACCCCTGTGGTACGGCCTAATCTTTTGTCCTAATGGCTTTTTTCCCTTCACGTTACTTTTCCTTTTTTTTTTACTTAAAGTAGTTTTAAAAACGGTTTATGCTTTTACTTGAGTAAAAAGCTTGATTTTAGCGTTGTACTTCAAAAAAAAAAGTAAAGTAAAAAGTAAACTGTAGTACAGTATCTATATTTGTACTTCATTAATGAATACTTTTGACACCTCTGGTTTTAACATATTATCCTGCAGTTGCTGCAAATTTGTCAGCTGCACATCAGTATTGATCTCCCATTCCAAATCTGCTTAACTGGATTGASTTCTGGTGACTTCGGAGGCCATTGGAGTGCAKTGAATAGCTGGGTTTCAGTCACGTGRTTTTGAAGGYGGAGCGATCTCCGCTGGAGGGCAGRGGGTAAAATTTCTATGGAGGAAACTACTGTAGAGAGTCTTTATTGTATGGATTTAGATCCTATTTCAAGATTATAACAACAATTTGTTCACAAATATGTCAGACATGACTCGTATGATGAAGATGAATGAGTTTTCGACAGAACCTAAAGAAGCTGAAGCTGTCGGTACCACACACGTCTTACATCACCAAGTGCCAAAAAATAACCAGCAAAAGTTTGTCTGATGAATAATTCCACACGATTCTGCCCAACCCTATGACAACATATGATAACACTGATTATCACACAAAGATGAAAAATGTAGAAAGCTCACAGAACGACAACGTAAAAAATGGATTTTGCGGTCAGGAGGAGCAGAATGCCGGTGTCTGCAGGCAGCGGCCACTACTAGCTGCTAACTTGTTTTAGAAGTTATGTTTATAATGATCGTTTCTGTAGTAGTGGGTATTAAGTTACTGGTAGTTTAATGTGGACCTCATCTGGACTTTAGGCTGCCCTAGTTCTGTGTCGTTAGGCGCTGTAAGTTTGTTGACGTTAGCCGCTACTGCTAGCATTATCTTAACATAAAACAATATCAGAAAAAACACTCACCCTGTCAAAAAAACAAACGATCATCTTCGTGGAGCTGTTTGGTGTGCGACGGTGTGGCTGTGCGCGACGGTGTGGCTTCTGAATAAATGAAAATGATTTAACACAGTTGTTTATCCTTTTAGCAGCTCCTTTTATTCCACAGCTGACGCTGCTAAAAATGACAGATTTTCTTTTCTGGACCTCTGACAGAAGGACTTCAATCTCTGAACTTGTAAAGTTTTTCTTTTTTAGTTTTCGCTGTCATTTTCATGAATGGACACTTACTGATATCTGAGGCAGGAAACATAGCCTTATATGGTGCTTTTGGGGTGGTAATTATGCTAATCTCCTCTCGCGTGCACAAGCAGCGGATACAAACAGGTGGAATTTACGCAGCTCATTTACACCCTTTTCATGAAGATAGAAGAGTTTGTTGACTCTGACGTGGCATGTTCGTACGAACCCTTCGTATGAACAAAAGTAAGAGAAATTTAGGATAAGAATATGAACATGTTCTTGCATGAGGCCCATTGTTTTTCCAATCTTCTTTTGGTGAACTTGTGTGAATTGTAGCCTCAGTTTCTTGCTCTTGGTTGACAGGAGAGGCACTCGTTTTGGTCTTCTGCTGCTGTAGCCCATCTGTTTCAAGGATGGATGCATGGTTGTTGGGAGAGGCAGTAATATTCTGCAAATCCAGGTTTTATTCTGCAGTTATGTTTTCAACTGTAGCTTTATTTATTGTCTTGAACCAGTAATACTGAGACCAGTCCATCTGGTACTAGTGGCCATGTCAAAGTCAGCAGAATTATCTTTCTTCCCTGTTCTGATTTAAACTTTGGCAGGTCGACTTCACCACATGCTTAAATGCATTCAGTTGTTGCAATTTTATTGGGTGTTTAGTTCTTTGTGTTWACAAGCAATTGAACAAGTGCACCTAMTAAAGAGGCTGGTGAGTGCAAATACTAATAATAAAAATGTCATTGTGTGTAAACTTTAATTTTTTACTAATCTAAAATAATTAAGCCATTGTATGTTATAGAAAATCTCAAAAATAAAAAATGTCTTATCATTACGTACCAGCTGTTTGGTGCATTGTTGAGTAATTTTACGAGATTGTCACATATTTACAGCTTCAAACTGAACAATGAAACAATGTTCCCCCTTCTGTAAAAATACCATTTGTTAAGGGACTTCACCACACCTCAGGCACTAAAAGCTTTTTTCTTCCCCTCTAAATTACATATTTGCACTTTAGATTTTCAGAGAAAACAATTATTGTACTTGGAAGCACATGGTTTCTGCTTTGTGAATTAATGGTTGAATTAGCTGTAAAACCACTGTTCAAAATTAACCATTATCAAGACTAATAACAGTGCTGGGAGAAAAGTCAGTGAATGCTCTAAATGAAAACTAGAATAAGGGTTTTAGGTAAAAAGAAAACTAAACCTGCTTGAATGGACTGAGTTAGCAGAATGTTCTATATATTTTTCAAATATTACAACCATAATAGTGTCCAGTAAAAAAGTCCATTTCATTTTAAAAAGATGTATTCATTTTATAAAATCTTTCCATCTAAACTAGTAAACTAGTTTTATTAGTTAAAAATCATTACTGTAAAAAACTAAGTACATTAAGATTATAAACTTAGTGCATTAAAAGCTTCTCTTGCTTGAGGGAGTCTGTTTTTATGAACTCACATAATCTCATTAATGAAAAACAAAATATGTCGGTGGTATTTGTAATTGCTCACATTTGCTTATTTTAGAATCCCAAAATCCATAATGTCCCAAGGCCCAGAGGCAACACATTCGAAAAAAAATTCTAAGATGAGCACCCTTCTGAGGATTTCTAAGAATCTCGAAGGATCCTCGGATATAAAAATATAAAAGGGTTTTGTGAAGCAAACATGATGAGTTGTGAAGTCGCCGCACGTTTTCACCAAATACAGTCAGCAAGGATGAGCTTAACTGCAGACTCCAATATCACAAGTGCTGCAGGCTAAAAGGAGGCCTCATTTTACTTTTAACTTTGCAGAATGTGCCGAATGCTTGAAAGCAGTTTGTCAGCATGTCAAGTATTTGGCTTGATGTCAAGGTGACCCGGTGAAATGCAAGACGATCAGAACGGCAGAGTGGTAGGAAGAAGAAAACATCCTAATCTAGCACAGGTATGGCCAAACGTGACAGTAGTAGAAGTAAAAACGAGCAGCCCCGGTTGAAATGAAAT